GATATCCAGTTTTGCCAGCACCATTTGTTAAAAAAAGACTGTCTTTTCCTCATTTGATGGACTTTGGGCCCTTGTCGAAGATCAGGTGACCATAGGTGGATGGATTTACATCTAGGTTCTCAATTCTGTTCCATTGGTCAATGTATCTGTCGTTGTACCAGTACCAGGCTGTTTTGACAATCTTTTATTTCTTGATATCGCCTATAAAAGTTCTATGACTACATTTTTTAGTCCCTCTTTTTTAAGTTATCATCTTCTACATATTGATGTCTCTTCTATCAATTTACTAGAAATCACTGAATTATATACCTACAATGGGTGAATTTTACGGTATGTAAATTATACTTTGATAAAGCTGTTAAAAAACTCTATGTATTATGTAATACCAAAACAGCCGGCAAGCCACATATTATATGATTCTATTTATTTGAAACAGCCCGAAGTGGCAAATCCATTGAGACGGAAACAGATTAGTGCTTTCCAGGAAATGGCAGGAGAAGGGAATGGAGAGAGACTGTTAATAGTACAGGGTTTCTTTTGGGGGTGATGGAAATGTTCTGGAATTAGATAGTGGTGATAATTGTACAACATTGTGAATATACTAAAAACCACTGAACTGTATACTTTAAAATAGTGAATTTTATGGTATGCGAATTATATCTCAATTTAAAAAAACAAAAAAAACAGATGGCAGGCCAGATTTAGCCTACAGGCCCAAGTTTGCCGACCCCTGTCCTAGTACAGAAAGCAAGTCTTGGTCACCTCTGATGCCCAAGGCCTGGTAGAGGACCTGACACAGAAAGGACACTTTCTGAGGATATGTTTGCTGAATGAGTCAGTGGGAAGGGTCAGCCATCCAACCAACACCTGCCTGGGAAAATAAGCACCTGGCATAATGAAGTTCACTTCTCACATGCCAGCTCTCCACGGCTGCACTCCGAGGACTATCCTGATACACTATGAGGAAAAGCCTCACTATGGCCCACAAAGCCTGACGCACTCTGCTCCCTGCCTACCTGTCGAGCCTCACGCGTACCTCACACACTGGCCTTCTCTCAGTTCCTAAAACACGCCAAGCTTGTTTCCACCTGAGGGACTTTGCATTTGCTATTCCCTCTGCCAGGAATATTCCACCCTCAGCTCTTCACCTTGTCGGCTCTTTCTCATCCTCCTGGTCTCAGCTCAAAATATTACTGCCTCAAGGAGACCTTCCCTGCCACCCTGGGAAAGTGGCCCTCTCCTATAAGAGATCCTCTTTTACACACACCATTTTATTTTCCTCATAATTATTATCACTATCTAAACCTATCTTACTTGTTTTGGTACTTTCTGTCTTCTTCCTACCTCCACGCCACCCAGAAGAATTTAAGCTCTGTGAAAGAAGAATGGTGGTTTTAAAAATATGTCCAGAAATTCTTTGACACTCCTTCCTTCAAAGAGTGGAGTCTAATCTTTCCAACCCCACTTGAGTATGGGCTGGACTTAGTGATTCACTTCTAACAGAATTTGGCGTAAATGATGTCATGTGACTCCTGAGGCTAGGTCAGGATCACTTCTGCCTGGCTCACTTCCTCTTGGATCAGTGACTCTGGGAGAAGCCAGCAGCCATGCTGTGAGGACACTCAAGCAGCTGTGTGGAGAGCTCTACATGGAGTGGAACAAACTTGCCAGGTGTGTGAGTGAGCATCTTGGACATGGACCCTTCAGATGATTTCAGTCCCCCTCCCAGCCTTTGAGTTTTCCAGCTGAGGCCCCAGACATCATGGAGCAGAGACAAACCATCCCCACTATGCCCTGTCTGAATTCCTGACCCACAGAAATCATGAGATAATAAATAATTATTGATATTTTAAGCCACTAAGTTTGGGGATAACTGGTTACATAATAATAGATAACTAATATATGAACCTCATCTGTCTTCTTCACTGCTCCATCCCCAGCCCCTAAACTGTGTCTGGGATATAACAGTTGCTCAACTAGTATTTATCAAATGAAAGACAGCTTAAACTAGAACCAAGAAGCTTGGTTAAGCATCTTTAAAGTTTGAAAGCAAGGAGACAAAGCAAAAGAGAGGGAGGGCATTCCATTCACTCTGACACCCTAGGATATCTTCCCAGACCTTCTTCAAATGATTCCCCCAGAAGAAAGGAAGGCAGGTAAACCCCAGCTCCAGGACGAGGCAAGCCCAACTCACTGATCTGGACCACGCAGCTGGCTCCTGACTCTGGCCCCACGATGTGGCTGCCAACACACTTGAACTTCTTGCCATCTGACAGCTGGGACTGGTTCAGCATTTCCACCCCCAGGTTCGACTTGCCCACAATCACACCTCCTGGCTCTTCTGTCCACAGGAAGTTCGGGTCTGGGTATCCCCCATCCCAGCGACAGGTGAGCTGCAGCATGACCAATCCCAGTGACATCTCTGCCCTGCACTGAGGCGCTGATGGAGGGGGGTCTGCAAAACACCAGAGGAGAAGGTGGGCTTAATCTCAGATGCTAAGATTAGCCAATGGGCTGGCTGTAGGTGTTACAGAAACAGGGTATCTGAGAAGCACCAACCCTAGAGTACCCTGAAATTACTCCAAGCACAACTTGGTACCTGTGAGCGTCCTATAATTTTATCTTTTCTTTCCCTCTCAGAATAAGTTTTGTTCCTTTTTCTGAGGCTGATCACAATGCCTACTCCTAACCTCCAAAGTAATACACTAAATTCCCTCCTGCTTTCTTTAAACCAGGCTCCTAAACTCACCCCCTCTCTGCGTCTACAATCATCTTTTCTACAGATGCCTTTTCCTCTGTAAGATGCACTCAGACTGCACCTCTCTTGAAAACTAAAATCTTTTTTACTTTTATTCTTTGATGCTTCTATCTTCTCACACTCCTCTCATCCATCTTAAAATAATACTGCAATACTCAACATCATTAGTCAACATGGAAATGGAAATTAAAGCCACATCCACTAGACTGGCTAAAACGAAAAAAAATGACCAAGTGTTGAGGCGGATGTGGAGGAACTGGAACTCTCATGCACTGCTGGTGGGAATAGAAAATGGTGCTGCCACTTTGGAAAACAGTTCGGCAGTTTCTTCTAAAACTAAATATACACCTACCTTATTACTCAGCAATCTCCCGCCTAGTGAAATGAAAGTATATGTTCACACAAAAGCCTGTACACTAATGTTTATAGTAGCTTTATTTGTAATCCTCAAAAACTAGAATTCATCCAGATGTCCTTTAACTGGTGAATGAATAAACAAGGTGTGGCACATTCATACATGGAATACTATTCAGCAATAAAAAGGAAAGAACTATTGGCACTACAATGTGGCCGTCAAATGCATTATCCAAGTGAAAGTAGCCTACACAAGGCTATATTCTGTATGTTTCCATTTATAGGAGCCCTGGTGGCGCTATGGTTAAGAGCTCAGCTGCTAACCAAAAGGTCGGCAGTTCAAATCCACCAACTGCTCCTTGGAAATCCTATGGGGCAGTTCTACTCTGTCCTATAGGGTCGCTATGAGTCAGAATCAACTCGACGGCAATGGGTTTGGTTTTTTGGTTTTTCCATTTAGAAGACATTCTGGAAAAAGCAAAATTATAGGGATAAAGGTAGGGGGAGAGTTTGACTACAAAGAGTTTTTAAAAAATGCATGTTCCTGGTCCCATCTTCAAAGAGGGATTCAGTAAATCTGGAGTAGGGCCCAGGAATCTGAATTTTTAACCAACACCTTAGGTTAGATGACTCTGAGGCCCAGGTGTTTCGGGGTTAGGGCCATGGGCAGAGAAAATAAGGCCAAAAATAAAATGTCCAGTCTCTTGCCCTATATGAATTACAACATAAGTGGGATCAGAGCCCAAAACATACTCAACCTCAGCAAAAAGCCAGGTTTTTATTAACTATGACAACAGCCAAGATTGCTCTGCCAAATGTTATATCCCCGAGGACCTGTGCCTCATTCATCTCTGTACTTCTCACTAGCCACATGTGGCTATTTAATTTTTTTTTAATTTAAATTTATTTTTGTTGAAAATAGACACAGCAAAACCCAGTTTCTAGACATAATGACCAGTGACATTGGTTACGTTCCTCACATTCTGTTAACATGCTCTTATTTCTGTTCAGTTGTTTCACCTTCATTTACTTAATCCTGCCCTCCCCTCCAACCTTCTCATCTGTGCTTTAAAATAACTGTTGACCCTCTGGTCTTGTATAGATTTTTTTTTAAAAAAAAACACCATACTTAAGGGTGATAAGCATTACTCTTTGGGATAAACTGTTACTTAGTTTAAAGGTAATATCAAGTGATAGTTTCAATTTAAGGTTTGAAGAGTAACTCAGGGCCATAGTCTCAGGGACTCCTCCAGCCTCAGTAGGTCCAGTAAGTCAAGACTCTTTAAGAATTTGAAGTTCTGTCCCGCATTTTTCTCCCTTTTTATCAGGATTCATCTTTTATGTTCCTGATCAGAACGTACAGTAGTGTTGGCTGGGCACCATCTAGTTTTTCTGGTCTCAAGGTGGAGGAGGCAGTAGTTCATGTAGACAGTCACATAGTCTAGTTTCTTCTCTGATTCTTGGGTTTCCTTCTTTCTCTTTTGTTCCAGATGAATAAAGAACAACAGGTGTTGGCTATTTAAATTTAACTAAAATAAAATTACGAATTCAGTTCTTCCATAACCTAACCCATATTTCAAGTGCTCAGTAACCACATGTGGCAAGTAGCTGCTGTATTCGACAATGCATAATGGAACATTTCTATCATCGCAGAAAGTTCTACTGGACAGTGCTGGTCCCTAGAAAATAACAGTGGTTGCCACTGGCAGGAGGCTTATGGGATACTAGGAGTTACAGGTGGAAAGGGGACTTACTCACCCCCATTCCCAATATTTAGAGTCGATTTTCAACTCATGGTGACCCATGTGGCAGAGAAGAACTCCTTCTAAGGGTTTTCTTGGCTGTAATCTTTATAGGTGTGGTGTCGCTGGGTAGGTTCAAGCTGCCGACTTTTCGATTAGCAGCCAAGCACCTAATCGTTGCGCCACCAGGGCTCTGTTATACATATGCATTCATACATATTATATATGTATAAACCAAACCAAATCCATTGCCATCAAGTCGATTCTGACTCATAGCTACCCTATAGGACAGAGCAGAACTGCCCCATAGGGTTTCCAAGGAATGCCTGGTGGATTTGAACTGCTGACCTTTTGGTTAGCAGCTGAGCCCTTAGCCACCACTGTCTCACCAGAGCTCCCTTATATATGTATACTCACTGCCGTCAAGTCGATTTCAACTCATAGTGACCCTATAGGACAGTAGAACTGCCCCACTGGGTTTCCAAGTAGCAGCTCATGGATTTGAACTGCCGACCTTTTGGTTAGCAGCCAAACACTTAACCGCTGTGCCACCAGGGCCCCCTATATATGTATAGATATCATATATTTTTATATATTTTATGTAATACACATACATAAAAATAAATTTGCCTCTTATATGGATGGGTAGGCATGTGGCAGCTACAGGAAAAATT